TTGTTGTGCAAGGATTCTCTGATGATTCTGAGAATAATATGGTCATATGCTTGAATTTCACCATGATAGTAAAACAAGATCCTTTCTGAGTGCAACAAACTTCTCAAATAATTCCAGAACATGGAGATCACTTCTGTAAGCAACTAGAATCCAAGCTCTGAAATAATATGCATTCTGAATTTCCTGAAGCAGAATATATCATGTGCTATATGGGAAGCTTTATAGTCTTACTCATTTGTAGCACAGCCATAATCAGTTTCTCGGCCAATGTGCACCAAATCTCTGGGAATCAGCTATCCTGATTAAGCCACAGAATTACCCTGACTTGATGTCAGTCTGGTCTTGCATTTTAGTGCTGTGCCTTGAGTTACAAAAAAGTTGATCCTTCAGGCTGAGATAAAGTAATCACGAAGTTTTGAAGTGCAAGAATCAGAAGTTCATCAGTATTCAATTTTAAATAACACAGCAATTGAATTTGGGAATCCTCCTGTGAGGTGGTAAGGGTGTTTTTTTTTGGTTTGTTTGGGTTATTTTCTTTTCTTGTAATAATAAAACTTGTACAATCAATCAGTTTAAGAGATGGTTTTTATTCTCCTCTTATTTGCTGATGTTTCTTCAGATGTTTCATATTGTTCTGCTCTGTTTACACCAAGCTGAAACAGAGGAGTAATTTGTTATGTGGTAGTAGCTGATGTGGATGAAATCCAAAGTGGAACATGTTCCCAGTTACACTGATACAGTACAGCTGAATTTAGCCATCCAGAGCTGCAACTGCAATCCCTTAGAATGTTTTTAGCTCTTGCTCAGAGTTCGAGGAGCAGAGGTTACACAAGCTTTGTCCTTCAGAAGCGGGAGGGTGGTGTCACACAACAGGTTGATCAATTCCTCAGTTATTCCTCAAAGGCATTTTTAAAGTTTTCCTGTAGCTTTTGCCCCTTGGGCAGACAATACTGAGTACCCATCTGCCCTCTCTGTTGCTCCTCTGCACCCAAGATCTTCAGTCAGACTTTGCTGGCATATGAGACTTGGTCCTTAGGAAAAGTGCTGTCCTGTTTTCATCCTCAGCCCCCAGACAGCAGTGCTGGTGAACTTAGTGAGTTCAGAGACTTTTCCCCATCTAACAGGATGCTATTGAAGCTGCACTTTGTGTTGGCTACTGGTTCATGCTGTCTAGCAGATTGCTTCCAAATGCCTGAAAAAAATTTAAAAGCCAGAACAAACCAACCTCTTTTAGACTGCCAAATACCAAGCATGCAAATTAGAAGTGAAGCTATTAATCTCACTTTACACATAAAGATGTTTTTCAAACTTGCTATTAGAAAAGTCAAGGAAAAACCCCACATCCAAGTTTGTAGATAATCCATTTTAAACTTGGGTTTAATCATAGGTAGTTTGGCTAAATAAAATGATTAAGAGTAAATAAAAACATAAGTAGAACTGCATAGAATGCATAGACTGGAGATAAGAAGCCAGAATTACATACAAGCGATGGTGGCAAAGCATCTGTGCTTTCACTAAGTTCACAGACCATTCCAAGTAGTCCAAGAAGGAGTATCACAGCATGTTCTGCTTATGTCTGAGCTGATTTTCTACAGCTGTGATCTATTTATTACTAACCTGAAATACCAGTCAAGAAGCAGCCTGGGAGCATGACAAGCAATACCTACCTTTCTTCTTCTGTTTTGCTTATTTCAAATAGTGTTTGTTTCAAATTATTGACCTAAGGAACAGTCTTACCTTATGATGTTCCTGTGTATACATTTCACAGCATCCAGCAACCACAAGTCTCAAAATCATCTGCAGTGACAAGGTGTCCTGAGGTTTTTTTTGGCCTGAATTATTTGGGGTATTAGAATATTTTGTTTATTAAGCAGCAAGCAACACAAGTAGGAGAGATTAACCCTCCTGGAGATCAAAGACATTCATGTGCTCTATTTTATATAAGCATGTTTTAATGCTTTATGGATGTTACAGAAAATTTGCAGTACATATAAAGGTATAAATAGAATAGAGACATTTACAGATAAATATATGCACTCAGTATCTTGCCTTGCAGACTTTTGTAACGTGGATCTTCAGCTGAAGGGTTATAATTGTACATGCCAGCAGATAGGACAGCAAGGCAGAGACACTCTTTATAAAGAAAACACTTTTTGGGGGCCTCAAGCTTTCTCCTTCTATGACTGCAAATTTCCACTTATCCCAGTGCTGTTGACTGTCACACTGCATTCTCCCCAGACAAGAGGATACAGATTTTGTACAGTGTTAGATCATGCAAGCAGCTTACCCTGAAATTGCTCTGATACTGTAGGGTGAAGGGCTGAGCTGAAGAAAGAGCTTTGCTCTTCATGTCTGGTTCCTGGGACGGAGTTCTTAAAAAGTTTTCCTTCCTTCCTTCTGTTGCTGTCCAGAGCTGACAACAGTTATCACTTATTTCATTTTCAAACTTTCCTGAGCCCATATTCAGGGTTCAACAGCAAAGAGGAGTTTCCTTAGGATGAAGTGAGCTACTTGGGCTCTGTGGAGATTAATCTGAACGTTTCCCTTTTCTTCACTTTATTGGTCCAGTAAACTTTGATTCATTTTTTGCTTCTTCATGTTCTGCCTCTGTCTACAGAGTGTGAATACTGTGAAATAAAGCACCAACTAAGAATTTATTTCTTAAAATATTCTGTGAGATCTACATGCTCTGAGATCCTCTATCTTGCCAGGAGTTCCTGGCAAAAATAAACGTGAAACGTGCAAAGCCTCCTCCCGTACAAACAGAATTAAATCAAGGAAGGTTTTGTGTTTGGCATGTTTATGTGAAATTAATATCTAAAGCCTTCACAAATACCTCTTTTTCTCTCCCTCATTACTGTTGTTTTAAAGAGGCTGTCAGGATTTTCTGCAGATGGGAAAAGAGCTTTTCTTCACCCCCTCACCCTCTGTTGCCAAATATGTAATTATGAGAAGAAGCAGTTCCTGTACATTGTGGTTTCCAATAAGACTGCACACTTTGAGCTGTGTTGTTACAGTTTTATATGATAAAATCTATAAAGTATTCATAATTTCAAGTGAGCAAAGGCTTGCTGACCACAATAACAAGTACCTTTGCTGACTGAAATTGTAACATCATTTGAGATAGATGCACAAAAATAATTCCACGTAATTCGGGTGTTACAACAGCATCTCTTGTGTCCAGGGAAGCAATTCTCTTGGTCACCACTTAGCTTGGACGACACAAAGCACAGACACTCAGATGGAACAAATCAAAAGATAACCACAGCAGCATTAATCCCTTCTGCACAACATTTTTTTCTTGGTGGAAAGTGCTAGCAATTGCCTTGGAAGGGTGTGTGTAGCACATTATGCTGAATGACTCCAGCTCCTTCGTTCTGCCTGTGAGTCCCTGCCAGCACGACTGAGTTCAGGGACAGCAGATGGGGTAGTGACATTTCTAATGGGAAGAGATAGGAAGGAGGGAGGGAGGGGAGGGGGTTCCTGCCTGCAGAGCTTAGGGAAAAGAGGGCAGGAGAAAGGAAATTTGGAAAGTCTTCTTGCTGTCAATAGAAATTGCTGGACTTTGGAAATCTTGGATAATAGGCACTGTGCACACGTACTTGTCTTGTGGATCCCAGGCACCCTTGTAGATCCCTTGGCTGCAGTAGATGGGTATGTCCATAACCTCTTTTCTTCAAGATACATTTTACTACTGACAAAAAGACAAATATATGTATATAAAATACATGTATTTAATATATATGCATATATATATATACGCATATATTTGGCCGGGTATAACAGTTTCCCAAAAATTCTGTATGGGAAAAAAAAACCAACAAAAATCCACAACATATTTTTTCCTTGAGCTCTAGCTTAAATGAATGTCTTAGCTATGAGTATTGTGCTTTTAAATTCAAAGTTCTTGCTAAAATAATTTCTTTCTGACATAAAGCAAAACTTTTAATAGTGAACCTGGTTGTTTGCTCACAGGAGGGAACAGTCACTCATTTTAAGTACTAAGATTTCCATCTGCCCATTTCCCCATGCTGCACAAAACCTTTGAGAACTATAGAGTAGATAGTATTTTTTTCTTTATTTGTAACTTCTGCCAGCTGCATACATTCACTGAGTGTTTTGTGAGAAGTTTGGCATCTCTACTGAAGTACCTCCATACTGACTATGAGGTTGGTTTCATTCTTAAATATGTTCTCTTCAGTCACATTCCATTTAGACTTCTCACTGTATTACCCACAATTTTTATATTTTTAGTATACCAGTCCAGTTTAACAATTTCAGTAATATAAATAAAAAAAGCCAAAACCAGAAAACCAAAAGAAATGTCATACAATAAACAAACACAGAAAACAAAATAATGGCTTTAGTCTTGTGAAAGCAATAGAGTTGAAATATCAGTCCTTCACTTACAAGATGCCTAAAGGAGGAAATAATAAAAACCACTGCGCATATGAAAGTGAACAATTGTTCACTATGACTGTGAATTAGTTTGACCCTGTTTTAGAATTACATTTTCATGTCTGAATATCAGCTGAACAGACTGGTAGCTATCTTTTCTAATAATATATCACACTGAAGTGGCGTGCTCCATGTCAGAGGATATTGCATGTAGTGGAATTTTCCACTATCTTTAAAGCATTAAAGATACTTTCATGACACAGATATAAAGTAGACAGAACAATGAACATCATTAATGAATGTTTCACAGATGACTGTCAGAAAACAGACTGTCAGCAGGAGTATTTCTTTCTGATTCCCCAAGCTACATTCCAGTGATTCTGACTGCTAATTGTACAGTTTCTCTAACCTGTGAAAGTTTTTGTGATTTTAATAATTCAAATTAAGGAGGAAAGAGGATCCTAAAAAAAAAATAAATCTAAAGTAATATGTTATCTACAACAATATAAAATATTAAACCAAAGAAACAGTATTGTCAGATGAGTAGTAGGGGAGAAAAGTGGTTGTGGGAAATAAATAATTTTGATTACTGCACAATGTTGTGTTTTTGCAGAATGTTTATTTTGACCAAATGACTTTAAAAAGAGGAGGTTTCAATTCCTTAAATCTGTGATTTTTCAGCAAGTAAGAAATATTTTTCTGCTTTTGTTTTTGGGCAAATAGGTATTATTCAAGCAAAGATCATTGTGCAACAAAATCACTGTGTTTTGCTGATAAGCCAGGACTTGACTGTGATGGTTGTACTTGTTACTATCTACTTGACAACCTGAGTTGTCCTTTTGGGCACAGGTGCACAGACCACTTCTAAATGACTTTATATGCCTTTTTCTGGAACTGATCAGCAAAGGGCAACATTACAATTTTGCAAAGAGTACAACAGGAAGAAAATTGTCAGGTGGAGCGGATCAAACAATGTATTTTAACTGTGTAAATTATAATTTTCTTTCTGTTCTTCTGGTTTTATAAAAAGTAAATGCTCCAGAAAATAGAACAGCCAGACAGACTGATGTGCCTCCTTTGTATGCATCTTTAGGAGTACATGGATAGAGTAACCAAAATTTAGAATAAAAAAAAATAGTTCGGCCAAAAGGGCTCAGTGATCACCTATCTGACCACTTAAGTGTGGATCAAAAGCTAAAGCATATTTTAATGGCATTCTGGACCTGATGTGCCAACTTCTGATAAATTCTGCTTGAGGTGTTGAGTGTCTCCAAATCTCCTTGAAGCTGTGAGTTGAACATATTCAGCAATATATAATTTTATATATCCCAACCTTAGCACAGTCACAATGCAAACTATTTTATTTAAGTGTTGATGAGAAGCCTGTGATAAAATAAAGAAGTGGTATTTCCTTCCAGATTGGTATTGGTTCTACAGCAAATATTTTATACAAAAGTTTCTCTGTTCAAGTTGCCCAGCCAGGATGTTTGTGAGCAGAATGGGGAGCAACACAGAAGGAAGTGTCTTCTTCTGGCCTTGCTGGAGGGACAGCACTGTGCAGAGTCCACAGTCACTGTCACTGCTGTGATGGGAGGGAATCATGGCTGCTCGCTCTTTTACTGTGGTTTCTTTGACAGGTACCATCAGTCGCTGTGGTAGTCCACTTCCTCGCCCAAAAATCACAATGTTCTGGGAGGAAATACAGAATAAAATGATAAATATAATTTCAGTTTTGAAAATGCAGAAGTAAATAAGAAAAGAGTATATGTGGTATAAGCAGTTACCTAATATATACATTCAAATGCAAAGCGTTTGAAATACTGATCCACAAACATCACAATATCCATAAGTCAAGCATTAATATTAGGTCTATTTGAAGGAGGTGACTTTTTTCAAACATTCTGTCAATACAAGGATGACTAAGACACCATAATTCTGTGACAAGTGCTAAAATTCTCCATGAGCTTGAGGTATTCAGCAATTACAATTATAACAATCTGTTTTTTTAGCACTTGGATTGCAGTGGTGCCTCCTGTGAGTAGCTTGTAATCAGGACTGTTGCTTCCCTGCTGCATACCATATAAATATTTATGAAATTAGTAAAATAATATTTTAAGGGTTCTTTGAAATGTGAATCATAGCCAGATCCAGAGCACCTACTAAGCATCTAACACCAAGGGAGTGACCTGGAATCCCTTAATTCTGCAGCGAAGATTGTTTGACCTCTCCAAAGAGCAACCCACATATCCTACACAATGGGGGACTGGTTCTGTGCCATGCAAGACAACTTTCTGCAGAGCATGGCAGACTGAAATAATTCTTATTTTCCAGTGCAATTTCCACTGTGATTTGTATTTTAAGGAATTAAATGTCTGAAAAGCACATAGCATGACACAGCAGAGCATATACCATAACCTAAGGATTTTGCTGGACTACTAAGGTGGAAACAAAGCCAGATTCCTAACTCTGATGGATCTTGACTGTATGCTTTGTTTGGATGTTTAATTTGATGTCATATGTGCTTGCCATAAAATTCATCTTTTTTTTTTTTTTTTTTGCAATAATCTAGCATGTTTCCAAGGGATATCACAATGATCACAGTTCTGGGAAATATAAGATGGTAGGCAAATGAAACTATCTAATTTTCCACCACAATAAGGAATGTGGCTGTGTTATCAAAAAGCTCCTAACACAAGAAGTACATTGGTGCAATCTTTAGACCAAATCTAGTTTTTAGTTATATTCCCCATTTTTAGGTTCTATCTGAAGGCCAAGAAACTAAGAAAAAAGCAATATATTTTGAGGTACATTACCCTAGTGTGCACTGTAGTCAGATGGAAATCTTTCTGTCTGGTGTCCCTTGCTGGGCCTGGATGATTTTCCTTGATGCACATAAAAGCAAACTGCACAATGTTACCTGCATGCTTTATATTAGTTTTGCTTTATTCATTTCTTTGAAGGGAAAAAATAAAAAATGTAATTTTTGACTTTAAACAGGTAAGATAAATACCATGTTCAGGAAAGAAATGGAATACACTCTGTTTAGGATTTAAATTCTTAATAACACTTCCAAAGTTGTATCAAGCCCAGAATAAAAGGAGGAGGTTGGCTGCAAGTTAGCACCTCTCTTTTAAAATCAACAACTGTTCTCAGAATTGCAGCGCTGGAGAGCTTATCCTTGCTGACTACTGACAGGCTATTTTCTTGCTGAATAAAAAATGAGCAATCATACATGAAAGGAAGCCCTGTGCATAGAATCAAATTCTACACATTCTTAAGCATGGCACAAACTTGCTTAAGTCAATGAAGACATTTTTAGGAGGATTTTTGCAGCTTGGCCCCAATAAGGTGAGTGCCTACACATAATGTGTCCTTGTCACCATGGTCCCGAATGACTCAAACGACTTATTATGTGGCAGAAAGCTTTTCACCTGTAGACTGTCAGTTTGAATCTGTCAAGCAACCAAAAGTTCCTGCTGCAAGAAATTTTATGCAAAAACTCCAAGCAATGCTAGAAGAATATTAAGGCTGCATATATAGTTGTATACACATTTCAGGCAGGGCTGTCATTCATTTTTAACATCCCCCTTTTGGCTACAGCATGATGATTCCATATTTAATAACTCAATCACATAACACCCTTCAAGCAATGTGGTACAGGCATTTTCCCCAAATCTGCAGAAATCTTTGCTTTGATGAACAGAAATCTTTATTCAGCTTTTGAGCACCCTGTAAGCTTTTCCCAGTCTTACTGAAGGAACACAAAAATAAGCACATATTTGAATGACACTGTACATCACAGTCACTGTCATGATCAAAGTTTAGTTGTATTGAAAATGTCTTTCCTGAAAATCAATTGAATTAAAACACCAAAACAGAAAGGAGAAATACTTGTTTTAAATATGTGAAAATGGGTCCCTTATATAATTAGAAATATTAGTGATTGCAAGTTGTAGGTTAAATAGCTTTTGCCTCCTGGGGTGTTTGCTTTCATCAAATGAAATGCAAGAGATCTAAATGCTCGTTTAGCCTTTCCACAGGAAAATCTGATTTTGTTCAGCTTTAAACTGAATAAGAATCTCTCCAACAGACAGGTTATGTTACCTTGATTTCTTGAAGAAACTACGCTTTTGAAGGTCTTCTGTTTCCTGCAGATCTCTCCACATATTAGCACACTTCCCCACACCTCCCCTTACTATAACACCTACTGCACAAAAATCTCCCACGAAACAGAGGGCTTGTGGCTAGGCAAGTGACTCAGGTTCATCCCTCCCCATGTATAGGTTCAGTTTTGAAGATGGTTTTGTTGAAGCATTGATCACTGGCTTAATCAGAACCTTTCTACACTCCCTATGAAAATAAAATTTAACTAAATGAAGATGGTATCTCCTGTGGTGGTCATTTGTGTTGCTGCTGTTGCAGCCAGCATAGATTTTCTCTGTATGGTCATATAGGGAATCTTCTGCAATGCCTTGGGTATTCTTTGAGGAACATATTTGTTGAGAGTCCTGAAAAATCCTACAAAGCTAGGAATCGACAGAGCTGGAAAGTCTTTGTAATATTGTAATTTGTTTGGGCTAATGATCCCAATCAGCACTATCAGGTCAAGGCTTTTGGGAGCTGTTGGGCTGGAGGCAAACTCAATTTTAGTCATACAGTACTGAAATTAAGAGAACTATTTTCTGCTTTAAATGAGGTGTTAATTATCTTAGTAATTGAAAGCAGACTAATTAACTCGGAGAATGATTGACATCTCAAGTAGAGTTGTAAGAAATGCTGAGCCACTGAAGAAGCACGTAGCAAGAGTGCAGTCAAGTATCCCTGGTCCACTGAGGGGTCCTTGGCTTGTATGGTAATTTTATGACTGCTCGGGTACCCAGGAGGAGGACTGGGCTGCAGTGGCGTGTCCTGGCCCGAGGCCAGGGACCTCCTGTGCTGGTGCCCCCCCGGCACACCTGGGCTGCTCCTGCAGCCACCAGCTCTGGCCTGGGCTCCACCTCCCCCATCTCCCCATGTCCCTGTGTGCACTGAGGGAGAAAGAAGAGGAACAGGGAGGCACCTGGATCCAGCAAGCACCTCTGTAACTCAGCATCAGCCTGAGAGGAAGGCTGGGAAATATTATTAACCAGAGAAGTGAACAGCTTCCGTTGCCTTGGAGCTATTGTTTTTCTCTCTGGCAGGACTGCTTTGAATATTAAAGAAACTAATGGGGATCCAAATTAAAAACTGTGATTAATGTTATGAACCAGCCTAATGTGCTTGCTCTGTGAGAAAGCAAGGGATAATAGAAAACAATCCAAAGCCTGTCTTGCCAAAGTGAGCAAGTCCATTAAGTTGTATGGTGGCTGCTGCAGCAAAGATATTTTATAGTGCAAAGTAACTCCTATGTTGGCATTTGGCAGAAAGCTACTGTTCTGGTGAAAACAGAAAACATGTATTTTGCACATTTTCTTTAATTTTTTTTTTAAATTGTGTTGTGTTTTTTTTTGCTGGTAGTGTTGTTGAAGTCCAGAATACTACTGTGACTATATACTGTAATGACGTGTTCATGAATATTATTTTTAGTTGCAGCTTGGCCATTCTTTTTTACAGACATGGTATTAATTCAAAAACATTTCTTCTTGCTTCTGTTGTTATCTTCAGTTACCACCCCCATATCAGCCCCATGCTCTTCTGCATTCTTTCAGTTTTCTTTCCAATACAAGTTCTAGCTATTGTATATAAATATCTTTTTAAAATTTATTTGACTACTAAACTAAATTTATTCTTCAACCAGCTTTTCTATATGATACATATGGCCACAAAATTATAGTAATTTTTTTAATCAGCAGATGCTAAAAATGTTTATTCATAAAGAAATACAGAAGCAATTATAATAGCTGATTGAACAAATAATGTCTGTATGAGTATATCCATCTGTATATAAAAGCTTTAGCAGCAGACACAGCAAAGGGTCTAGAGCTTCTTCTAGCACTGGCTGATGCAGTCCAAGCTCTTACTTAGCCTGATGCAGGTGTTCCCTTCACTGTCCCCATAGGGGTCAGGCCTGCAAATACTGTTACAGTATGAGTATGTTGAGTTTATTGGGGTGGAAGCCATTTCTGTGCTAAAGACTCTCCTTAGGTCTTTCCATGTCCTTTCTGTGCAGATACAGATCTCATACATAAAGATAAATGGTCATCTGAATATTTTCTGAACATATTAAAAAGCAGACACCAAATCCTCCCACAAATTAACAAAAAATAACACACAAACCAAATGACCAACAAAACTCTACTGACCTGTCGAAAATATGTGCAAGTGGTTTCTTCTTGCAAGCTCTACCTTGTGTTAAGAGGTGTTAAGCAGCCACAGCTTAGAGAATTAGAGCATTCAGAGTGCTGAAAAATCCAGTGATAATATGAGACAGTTTATTTAAACCTACATGCTAGATGTTCTCAGTATTGGCTCCTTTTTCTGGTCTTATCAGTCGTGGCCTGTTCAAAATCGAAGAAAGAAAACGTTTTTGTAGTATTTTACAATTACTGGAGAAATTGCACATGGTGAAAATTGATGCAAACATATTAATTTTGTTCAAAGCCAGAAAGTCTTTGCAATGGTTATGGTGAGATCATGTGGCACAATACAGTTTGGACAGGTTTTTATAGGTATTGAGAATTTAATCTAAACTTATGTTTCTACAGAAATTATTCCAACATGAGTTCCATGGCATTAAGACTTTTCATTTCCTAGCTTTGAAAAGTGACACTCACCTGCTTGCTAATAGGCTAAGTAATTGCTAATGAGCAGATATGAGACCTCAAGGCTATTCCTATTACAGCTGTAGAATGTCTATTGTGCTCCATGCAATCAGAAGGAACCATTCCCATATTTTCACTGAAATGCCAAGAATAGCTAGACTTTCATTCAAAGAATCTGAAAAAAAGAAGATCCATAAAACTCAAACATCAGATTTCTAAAGGCGATGACTTTCTTCTGCTGCTGTCAGTCATGGCTGTGAGCAACCCTTCAGATTTGCAGATAAAGGCACCCTGCACTGCTGTTGGAACAGGGCTACCATGTGTGAGCCTGCCTTAGGAGCTGGCAGGAGAGCAGAAGCGTGATGCCCTTGCTGGAGCTGAAGTGTCCATTAATGCAGAATTATGCTGCTGATTCTTCAATCATGTTGTCCTGAAAGGGGTTTCAGTGGAAATCTGGCTACATTGTAGAGAGATGCCCAGCCTGGAGATGCCAATTTCATTGCCCAGGTGGCTGAACTGGGGAGATGCCAATCTCAAGGGCTGTTGGCAGACCAGAAAGCTGGGAGAGCATCCTGGACCAGGCACAGAAACTGAATTCTGCCCCTGAATAATTAGATAAAAGGATGTGGTTGAGTCTCCTCATAACAGCAGACTCTGAGGTAACCGAACAGGACTGGCTGTTTATTTAAATGTAGAGCCTTCAGTAGCTTATAGTCCTCCCAGAATTCTGTATGTGTGTCTTCTCCAAAGGAAACCCTGAATAGCTTTCTTTTAACTGAGTTTTTACCTCTCCATGGGTCAGTGTTAATACTGAATGCAATATTTAGTCTAACTTATGTGCCAAGAAATAAAGAATTCTATGTTTGTGGGTTGTATGTGTCTTCAAATTTTCAGACTGCTCAGCAAATAGAAAATTCATAGAAAATACACAGCAATGTAAAGCTGCTTTTACACTGTGTTCAAAATATAAAGTACAGTGGTCTTAGTGACAAAAATTTAAGTATTTAAGGATGGAGGTGTTGATGCCAGCAAAATAAAGAGTTGGTTTATTAGATTTTATTAGATTTACCAGGTTAGGACTTCATTTATGTAATATTGTCCTATCTATTTAATAGCAGGCAATGCTGACTCTCCTGATTTTATATCTTACTAAAATGTTTTTCCTTTTTCTGGCCACTCCATGAAATGTGAATTTAAATCTAACCTGAAGAAAGAAGTTCTGCACAATAATAGTCTGTCTTAACTTATGGATAAAACCATTTGTTTAGTTTTATACGCAGATGAGAGATTTTTCACTTTAGTTGGGTATTTGATGACTGAAGAAAGTTTAAGGAAAAAGGAGAAAGTAGTGAAATTTACAGCCTGAAGGTGAACTCAAATGCAGATTTCCCTGCCCAGACATTACCTGCTAGAATAATTTTTCAGCTTGCTCAGGAGACACCAAACTACCTCCTCTGCAGGAAATATAATTGGTGTTCTAAGGACATTGTTTGTCATGGAGAAGTACAGAGAGTGGTCACTAGTAGAATTTGTAATAAAATAAGGGACTGTATTGTCCATATGCTAGCAGATCTTAGGGAAGGAAATGTTCTTTGGGCTACTCAGAAAGTATACCCTGTCAAACCCATGGCAAATTCCCTGTGATTGGGGTTGAAATAGTGCACAATTTGGGTAATGCTTATCCTACACACACCACATCCAGGGTTGGTTTAATCCTGTGTCAGAATTAAATTAATTCCTATGCAGCTGTGTGTGTTGAACCTGGCTGGACACCAGGTGCCCACCAAAGGCACTCTATCACTACCTTCCTGAGCTAGAGAAAATATAATGAAAAGCTCATGGGCTGAGAAAAGGACAGGAAGAGATCATGCAGCAATTACAACCATGGGAAAAACAGACAACTTGGGCTAAATTAATTTAATTTGTTGGCTATCAAATTGGAGTTGGGTGATGAGAATTAAAAATTTAAGCGCAAAGCACCTCATGTCATTAAAGACCCATAGACAGCTTAACAGAGACCATAAGGTAAACTTCCTACCAGTGCTGATGTCAGACTGGCCTACAACATGGACCCCATTGTTCCCTCAGAGCCAGCACAGGACACAGTGTGCTCCCAAACTGATGAGCTGAAAATTTAATCACCAAATATGAAATGGCTATTATTTCTCCAAAAGAGGTGACCACTGCTATCAAACATAATACTAGCTGCGTTGTCAGAATTGCAACAGAAATAGAACAAACTTCTGAATATCATTGGTATGGTGCTTTTATGAGATATGCACCATCTGCAAATGCATATTGCATCTTATATTACATCCTATGATTGTTGTACTATTGTGCTGTATTTTATTAGTTTTGCTAGTAATATATTTTTATATCTATGTTTATCACATATCTCCCTGTGTTGGAAATATGAATCACCATTTGTTACATGATTTGGGCTTGAGTGCCCAAATCTTCCCCTGAGAAAGACGAGGACTAACAGTTCCACCCCTCACCTGGCTCTGGTTTTTCACAGAGTTTGGTCTGTGGCAAGGGACAAGGGTGATTGTCCATTCAACTCTGGTTTTGGCCCAACATACAGATGATGCCACACCCCAGCAGTAGTTGTACTGCCACAACCACTGAGGCACAGAGAGAGCAACATGTAAGTTAGAGAGTTTGTGAGCTGGGGAATTTGTGAATTAATAAAGCAATGAATTAGAGAATTCATGTTTTCTAAATAAAGAGCATTGAGCTCTATTTATTTAATTTTTAAATTGAATGAGGTCTTGATATAAAGTTTAATTTGTTGAGTATGTCGTCATGTAAGGTGAGATATCCAAACAGTATATCACCTTTTGGTCTGTGGTAAAAGTAAAAAACTGAAAAAGGAAAACTGTCTTTTTCTTTCCTTCAACTTTTGAGTCTCTCTGATCACTAAGGATTATTCGGTTTAGATGTGAGATCAATACAGCATAAGTTACCTGTATATCGCTGTAAACAATTCTAGTAAAATATTTATTTTTAAAGGAAGGAATATTTATTTTAAAGCTCTGTCCTGGCCTTTGAGGATAAGAAAAATCTTTGCCAAGGCACCTAAGCCAGGTAAGAGTTAAAGTTTCTTCCTTTTCTTTGTCTGTCACTATTTCTGTAGGTGTTAGGAGATCTGCTTTGAGACATGTCTTCATCCAGAAAGGCTGAGGTGAAGTAAGGTTATTTGCATTTGTGCTTTGTGAGGGTTTACTTTAAACAAATTATTCAAGTTCAGATATTTAAACATTTGCTCTTTTTCTTGTTTCAGCTTATGAAAATTATTTCTATCCATAAAAGAGATCTTAGTGTTTTCTGAGGACTTGTGCTGCTGTAAGATTTGTCAGTCTGTCCTTTGCTTCCCTACTGTTGTCCTTATCTAGGGAATTTTCCTCTGCAAAGGAGACTACAAAGCTTACAGCATGCCATGCATATCTTACATGCTGTCCCGGGAGTCAGCTGCAGAGTCACCATTTCTATCTGTTGTCCAGTCAATGAAAATAGATTCTCAGTCCTACGATTACGAATCACAACATGAGTCCTGGCTGCCCTGCCTGACTTTGCTTGTTGTATATGAGCAAAAGGGAAGATGGAAGGGGCTGGGTTTTCAAAGGAAAAGGCTACACCACTAGCTAGTTACTGAGCCAATATGCCAATTCTAAAGCCACTTGGCACATTTCAGTGGAAAACCTCCTTTCCTTTCTTAAAAATAAGCTCTATAATTATTAGGTGTTCGATAAGAAAGCAGACTGTCTGAAGGTGTTCTGGAGAAGCTGCTTCCCAGAAATCTCATTAGTAGGAGTCAGTGGTGAGCAGCGACTCCGCTACAGTCCCTCGAGCGCTGTCAGTCAGCACCTCTGATTGTTGGGGATTGCTCAAAGAAGTGACAAATGTTTCCCTTCACCTGATGCAGCTGAGAAAAACAGCAATTACCCAAACATTGCATCTTGTTGTGACAGCCCCCTGCTTTCTGTGTGTGAGGCCGAGTGCCACTCCTGGAGAAGAGAAGCGGTTCACGTCAGTGCGCTGTGTACGTCGGAGCGCTGTGTCCAGCTCTGGGCCCTCAGTTTGGGAAGGACATTGAGACACTCGAGCGTGTCCAGAGGAGGCAACGAGGCTGGTGAGGGGCTTGGAGCACAAACCCTGTGAGAAACCACTGAGGGAGCTAGGGTTGTTTAGCCTGGAGAAAAGGAGACTCAGAGGTGACCTTATCACTCTCTACAACTCCCTGAAAGGTGTTTGTAACCACCTGAGGGTCGGTCTGTTTCTCCAGGCAGCAACTGACAGAACCAGAGGACACAGTCTAAAGCTGCACCAAGGAAATATAGGATGGATATTAGGAAGATGTTTTTTACAGGAAGAGTGATGGAATGGCCAGTCCAGGGAGGTGGTGGAGTCACCACCCCTGGATGTGTTTAGAAATAGATTGGATGTGGCACTCAGTGCCATGGTTTAGTAGAGATGTTAGGGCTGGGCTGGACTTGATGATCTTGAAGGTCTCTTCCAACCTTGTCATGCTGTGAATTCAGTGTGTCTGGACCTGCTCCATCTCCAGTGTGCCTGGGTTTGTGTGACAACTGCCCCAGCAATGGGTTAAAGCATGGTGAGAGGGGGAAATCAGGGAGCCTAAATTGCAAAAGGGATTTGTAGTCCTGTTACACAAGACTGCAGGTTTAATTCAAAGGCATGTTGAGCCCACACCTCTTTTGTGTCTGACACCTTTT